AAAAATTATATCCACAACAGTAAAACAATTCAATCTACCAATTTCTTTTTTTCTTGTAAAAAATTCAAGCAAATATACTATACCTCCGCGGTTACGCCTACACCTTCAATATTACTCCTAAGGCCATCGGATGTTGGAGGCTTTTTACCGGTTGGCAAGGGCATTGGGCAAGTAGACTACATGGTATGGTGTTAGCAAAACGTGGGCCCCACATGTATGCCAGCAATGGTGTTAGCCATAGGTAGCAATGGTTTTGCTATTAAAAATGGGTCTCACTTCCATTTTTTTCCCTTCTATCTTCTTTTTCTTTTTCTTTCTTCTAAAGTGTTGGGTTCTATAAATATATTGTCAAAGCTTCTATTACTATACCGTGCAAATGCTGTAACTAAATATTACAGCTAATCACATCAACAATTAGGCTAACGTGATTGACAAAAAATTGTCCATAGCCATCCGATATAACAATGGCAATACCTGATGCCCTAAGTTCCTAACATAATTCAAATACTCAATGGCAATTACAATCATGGTTCGCCGTATTGGTCGATACGCGACCTTTTTTCAAAGGCCCTATACTAGTTGGTTCGACTAATTTACACTGATTTTGTCCGAATTCATTACACTGCGACCGTGACCGATATCGTGAATCATGATTACAACTTGAACTAATATACCCATTAGTAACTATCAAAGAAGTACTCTTCCTAAGACAGGGAGTTTCACCATCATGTAATTGATATCACAGACTTTGGTTTGGGTGGTTTTAGCTTGGGGGTTAAAAAAAAAAAAAAAAAAAAAAAAAGGTTAAGGGAGATAGAGTGTTTGGTTCAAATTATATAAGAACGACATGCATGCGACTCCAAATGAAATGATTTGAGTTCAACTTGAGTCTCTTCGGCTCAGCTTATTCATTTGTGGGCTATGTTAAAAGACTAAATTAAGGATCATGACAGAGCCCAAAAAGTTGAGTTTGACCTTAGCTTGTTTAATTACAAAAGTCATTTGGGGTTTTGATTCGAGTTGTGTTTGAAATCGTATTGACTTATTCATAAATTTATACGCACCTATATATGTCTGTGTATGAGCATATTCATGAGTTTACATGCATGAATCTATACAAGTTTATATTTATAAATATGTCTATGAGCCTATACATGAGACTTATGGTTACGAACGTATAAATGCACGCCTACAAAACCTCATATTCGTGAGTTATATAAGTTTAACTCAATAAAACTGTTCAGAACCAGCTTAATCTAAAAATCAAACTTGAACTCGAAATCGATTCATTCGCTTAACCAACCAGTTCGATATAAAGCTATTTTAAAAATTATTAGTTTTGTTACTTTCTCGGTCCCAAAATAATTGAGCAATTTGAAATTATGACTCACAAAGTATTTTTATCAAATTTAGAGAGTATTAATTAACAACTCAATTTATTTGCCCTTTATAAAATAATAAAAATAAAAATAAAAATAAATAAAAGACAAAAAGTAGTAGTAAGAAGAAGAAGGGGGTGAATGAGTGGTCACATCATTCACAGGACGGTACTTCAGAGCGATCCAAATCCATCCATCCACCAGCTTGCTCTTCTGACGCTGCTAATATGTTTTGATTCCTTCACCCAGGTGCTTTCAATGCTCTCTTCGAAATTACTCCATTACCCTTATCCATTTAAATTAGCTTCAACAAAATGAATTGAATTTGCAGAATTAATTTTAAGAGAAGTGATAAATCTTCTGACTTTAATTGTCGACTATTCTTTTAAAAATAATGTGATTGGAAATGAGTAGAAGAGAAAGAGATGTTTACGGAATTTTTTTTAAGAGTTTTAATAGAATCCAACCACGTTATATTAGTAAGAAAAGTCGATAATTAACGTCGGAAGACTTATCATTTTTTTAATTTTAATTAGTAAATATTTTTTTTTAAAAATTAATATATATATATATATATATATATATATATAAAAACTTAAAACTCTTACACATCACAGGTAAAATTATACCCTAATTCAATATCAAAATTTGCTAAATTAATCGAGTACAATCTTTTAAGTTATGTCATTTGTAATTTCATGCACTAGTTTGCTTTTAAATTTTAATACATTATTTGTCTTGTACTGAATATATATATCTTGATGTAGTATTTGATTGCATCACGTTGTTGTTAGGATTCTCATTTTAACTTGTTTGTATTTTTAAATCAAAAAGCTGAAGATTAGTAGCATCAGAGATCTTCACCTAAAACCATAATCTTTGGATCAAAGTTTGATATTTTAAAAGAACAAAATACTCCATATAATATAACCAATTTTTGTTCTTTTTACTGGTCTTGAATATATTTGGATTTTTTCGGTCAAAATATATATATATATATATATATATATATATATATATATATATGGATCTTTGAAGGTAATCATGATGGAGCAATGCAAAACTTTGTAATGGCAGTTGTGTAATTAGAAGGACATGGATGTCTAGGCAAGTCATCTAGCTGTTGACAGTGCCACCTAGAGAACCATTACTACTAGCAAACAGGGAATATCTCGATTACTGTTAAATAAAATGGGGAGTGAGATAGTTACCGAGAAATAATAAAAAATTTACATAGAAAACGAAAACCTCTTTTATGATTTTTTATTTTTTATTAAAAAAAAGAGATAAAAACTATTGGGGCAATTCGATATTTACATTATTAGACTTTGATAGAATTATAATTCAAAATCATTTAATAAATTCTTTTAAATATATATTTAGGTGGAGATGGAAGATTTTAAAATGACGTTTTTCCGAACTCCAGTATTTTTAGAAGAAAAACAGGATGGGTAGCCAAAAGAACATATTATGAGAGTTTTGCTTTTGTTTATAATAGTGGCAAAAATTGAGAGAGTTATTTTAAGGGCTCTTTGGGAGTCTGAAAAAAAGGCAAAATTGGGCGTTATTATAAAGGCAAATTTACAAGTTTAAGAAGATGACAAAAGGGTTTTTTATTTTTTAAATTTCCTGAAGATGACAAAAATGGCAAGTTTGATAAATGAGAATTTTTCGATTTCAAGAAAATGACAAAATGAGTCTTTCATAAATTCATAATTGTCAATTTAAAAAGATTTTAAAAAGCAAAATTCCCTTTCTACATTATTTTCTCATTCAAATTACACTGCATGCAATATTCGCCTCAACTAGTCCTCCTTTTAACTCCCGTGGTCTACACAATCATGATGGCCTTAGTTAAAGGGCTCTCCTAAGCCTGGAGCATGTTACCCGGAGTTACGAATGTGGAGCACAAGTAAACAAATAACTTTGGACAACATAACGAGGATTAATTAGAAGTTACAATACAAAAAGACCTAGTTACATTCTAAACGATTGACTGGTTGAACCATTGATTATTTGTATAAGCTTGAAATGTAAACCTAAGTAAAGAATTCTAAGAAAGACCGCAAAGGGAAAGCGTTGTAAACTTAAGACTACAAGTTACACTATAAAAAGTGAGAATAAGGATTAGTAGTTGCCTAACTAAGGAACTCGAGGCTGACAATCAGAGTATCCTCTAGGAGTAGCGCGGGATAGACGTATGAAAAGTAGTCGTGTTAGTTGAGGACCTTGATCTCTTCATATATGAGATTTATTTATAGCGTTTGAGATTCTTGGTCCTTGATTGGATGCGCGCCGCACGGATGATTCAAATGGTTTCTTTGTGAAGGCTATCGTAACAATTGAGGTATCATCTTTTGCCTAACACAGATGTGACCTTCTAGGTTTATCTATAACGTGATGGGCTCAGAATGTATATCGGTTGCAGGCACTTGAGCATTGTAAAAGTCACTTCGCCCAGTACGTTTGTCTCTTGATAGGATCGATGTAGGTGTCTTTGTCCATTGCTAATCACCTGCTATGTCCGACCCTTACTTCTACAATATACTAGGCTCGGCAAAGTCTCGTTAGAGTGAACATGGCCATAAAGATTGCTTACTTGGCTAGGAGGGGGATCTAGTCATATCTCTTCTACCATTTTGCTGACATGAGCCTTACTCTTCATGACATCACGTTTAGGTGGACCAAATACACCTAATCTGTGTGCAAATAGTCTTTTCCATCTTATCACATGAAAACTAGGCTCCATTGAATGTTTATCTTGAACTAATCACTCTTAAACTTACAAATGATGATGTAATTCAAAATTAGTTCATTTAAAGTTGGACTTTGCCAATTCATTAAGTAAATGAGCTGTGATCAATTTCGATTTTTTAATTTGTAGGATAAACAATTGACAATCAAACTTGGGTAAGAGTTATAAGTTTTAAAATCATTTTCCAACTAATCTGTTGCAACAACTAATCTGTTGCAGGGTGGCGACTACTGTAGGAAGCGAATTGAATTTATACCTAACCGAAAGTGTGAAAGTGTCCTAACATGAGAATGAGCAAACTTCTTCGAGTAAAATACTTCGAAGTAAGAAAGCCTGTTCTTGGCTGGGGTAGAGCTTTACGCGCGCGCGGTCACACACTGTCAGTGTCTTCTGGCCTTAATGGGGTAAAAGATGAGGGCAGATAATAACGGAAGGGTATTAGGCTACCCGTAAGTAACTCAACTTGGTAAAGTCGCAACTGCTGCCTTTCTCCGTTGTACCCTTTCCGAAGCATTGAGAGACAGACACTCTGCAGGTTACTTTTACCTCTCTCGAGATTTTAAAATTTACTTTATTTTAGAGTCTTTTTTTACTCTCACATGTCTTGTCTTGACTTGTCTTTTCTAGAGTACCCTAGCCTGCTTCCTCCTGCAGCCTTCTCCATCAATTCTCAATTCAATTACCCCCCCCTCTCTCTCTCTCTCTCTCTCTCTCTATCTGCAATAAGATAAAAAGAGTCCACAGGAGAGTATCTGCAAAAGCTAGCTTCTACAGACTCTCTTTACTTTACATACCCAACGCACTAATAACAAAACTCCAAAAGCAACCAAAACAACTGCTACAAAAGTGTCTCTCTCTCTCTCTACATGGACTTCCATCTGAAGCAATGGAAAAACCAGCAGCAGCAGCAGCAGCATGAGTCAGAAGACCAACCTTGTGCAAAGTTACCAACAAGACTTCCTCTGTTTGACACCCATCAATTGCTGCAGCAACAACAACAACAACAACAACAAGCATCTGAGCCTGAGTCTGATTCACCACCTGCTCTCTCCCTGCCCCTTCCATTCTTTGTACCTCAACTCACTACCAAACTCACCAACATGTCAGCATTCACACCTGCTGAACATTCAACAACAACCACTTCTGCTACCAGATCATTTCCCACCAGTAAGATCTCTCTCTCTCTCTCTCTTTCCCTCTTTCTTCTTCTTCACAATCTGTCACACACACACCACACAAAGTTTCATTTTCCTGCTTTGGAAAGTTAAGTAACATTTGTGGCTTGGTTGGTTGGTTGCTTCTAAGTCACATGCATACATACTACTAATCAACTATTGTGTACTTTATTTTTATTTTTGTGTGAGGAAGGGATGGGAAGTTACTTCAGCTGGGGGCAGTGGCAGGAGCTTGAACTGCAGGGAATGATATTCAGGCATATGTTAGCTGGTGCTTCTATTCCTCCTGAACTACTCCACCTACTCCACAACTCCCTCCTTAATTCTACTACTACTACTACTACCCCTCCTCCATATTATCTCCACTACCCTCCTCGCCATTATCAGCCTTCTTGTAAGTTCTCTCATCACTACTCTCATCAGTTCTCTCAACAATTCCATTAAGATTAGTATGACCAGTATCATATATTTTTATTGAAATATATACGTTGTGTTTACCTTTGTTTGTCTCTATAGATTCTGTTTTTGATGGATTAAATCTGATTGATATAACTTATAAGAGAGATGATCTGATCCAAATGATACTCCATTTTCTTCTAGCGTGTAATCAAATCATGCTTTGTTTTTATATATTATTTTTTTCTCTTCAAATGTGACAGTGTGTGTGTGTGTATCAGTGTTGCAATCAGGGTATTGGGGGAGAGGTGCTATGGATCCGGAGCCAGGTCGGTGCCGGAGGACAGATGGGAAGAAGTGGAGATGCTCAAGGGATGTGGTGGCTGGACACAAGTACTGCGAGCGCCACATGCACCGTGGCCGCAACCGTTCAAGAAAGCCTGTGGAAATCCCCACACCCACCACCGCTGCTAATGGTGGTGGTGGTGGTAGTGGTGGACTACTCAAAAACAACACTCTCATTCCTGCAGCTATGACTGGTGGCACACATCTTGCTCTTTCTGGGCCTTCCCCTTCCATTGATCTCCTTCACCTCAATCAAAGGTATATACTCTCCTTCTCACTCTCTTCCATTTCCTTTTGCATGATTATTTGTGCTGCCTAACAAGTGAAGAAAATCTTTGATCAAGATGATCCAAACCATCAAAAGGCTTATTTTTTGGCCTCCCCCTTTGTGGGCCAGGGCATAACTCCCTTAAAATAACGAAGTCTTACTGGTAGGACCCCATTTTAGATCTGGTCTCTGTTTTGAATCTGGGGAGAAGCCTTTGATTCTGCATTAACAAACCCCAGCCACTTCTTTTGTGTCCAATAATCAAAGGGCCCTTTCTTTATGTTCAACTGCACTTTCTATTTTTATGTTCTTTAACATTGCCTTGCCCTTTGTTTATCATGCTCTTACAGACCCTCAGAGCCAAAAACTGAAAACAAGTACCCATTTGAACTTAAGCATGAGATGTCCGGGGATGCCAATTCTGGAAACCAAGTCCTCCGTCATTTCTTCGATGATTGGCCAAGATCGCTTAAGGAACCTGCTGAAAGCAATGCCAGCACGGTGACTTCTTCTGCCACCAGCCTCTCCATTTCAACTGCAAGTCCTCAATCCGATTTCTCTCTAAAACTTTCCACCGGTAACAGAGATGAACCAGGTCCTGAGGACAGGAATGCAGAACAAGAGCGGCCTCAGTTCAACTGGTCCGCCGGATGGGATGCAAACCGGGTTGCTCCAATGGGAGGACCACTTGGGGAAGCATTGAGATCATCAAATTCATCACCAACAAGCGTTCTACATCAATTGCAGCGAAACTCCACATCTGAGACCAGCTACATCACCACCTGATTTGATTATTAGAAGCAAATGGGTCTTGCTTTAGTTTTCTTATTTATTTCCCCTTTTCACGGTTGCGTGTTTGTTGTAACCCATCTGTTTTATAAACTGCATGTGTTTTTGTTGTCTGATGATTAGTTTAACTGATAATAATTCACAAGATCAATCTCGCTTTTTCTTTTTTTTTCCCCCCCTTTCTTTCGTGTTATTTTTATGGAACTGTATTTCAAAACACATGCTTAGAAGCAAATGGTTCTGCTTTAGTTTTCTTGTTTATTTCCCTTTTCACGGTTGCGTGTTTGTTGTAACCCATCTGTTTTATAAACTGCATAGTGTTTATGTTGTCTGATGATTACTTTAACTGATAATAATTCACAAGATCAGTCTCGCTGTTTCCCTCCCCCCCCACCCCCTTCCCCCCTTTTCTCTCGTGGTATTTTTATGGAACTGTTTTTCAAAACACATGCCTGTCAAATGTGTAATCTTTTATTTATTAATCGAGAGAAATCCTATGCATTCATCAAATGCATCATCAACTACTACGGATTCAAAAACATTAGGATGTACAGTGTGCTATACATGGGTATGTCTCACCAAGAAGCAGTCATATCTTCAACCTAAGAATTCAATATATAGAAACATTTACAAAATGCTTTATGCTGATAAATTTAGGTACATGCCCAAAGATAGATTGGTCTCATTGCTGGGCTTGCAGGTATGCTCCTACCCATTTTTGTCTCTCTGATCCTAGCCGTTTTGCCTATTGGATGCTGGGGCTGCTGATATGATGGGAAATCTGAAATTGCAGCAAGAGAATACTAAAGATGTTCTAGCTCTGTGAGAAATCTTTGTCATGATCTGAGTTCATGCCTCAACCGGTTTCAATTTATCGTCTGCCAGAGCATAGACCACTACGGTTCTAGAAGGTGCATATACCATGAACGAACTAGGTCGGTTATCATGCCCATCCTGCACAATCAAAAATGATGATGAGAAACTTTTGCTTCAAAATATCTATTAGACAAACATTGAATATTGACAGAGTCGAAAATTAAGAATCTGAGTGAATTCTTACAAATGTGAAGTACTCTGCACTGTGATCAATTCTATTGAAGCCTCCAAATAGCTTCTCATCTGAATCCAAGACAACCTGAAAAGAGGAAACACAACATGCATTTTACCAGGATGTTAGATTAGCAATGGATAAAATACCAATACAACATAAATCATACAGTTTAGATAGAGCAATATAAGAAAAGGAAGAACAATGCTTAATGCCATTTCAACAAGTTTCCTTCCACCATTTTTTATAATCCTCATGGGTACCAAGGCATCTTGTCAGCTAAGGCCCGACGACAACGCACTGGTGGGGATGATTTAATGGGGTTGAGTAAAATGATAACACAATTTGAATATCCGTAAAAAGAAGTGCCACTTGAAATGTGATACAATTTTAAGTGACAACGACTTCACATACCACCGAACGTGAAAATTTAAAATATCAAAACTTTCTAAATTTACAGTTACCACATAAAACTTCAGCACATAAAAATTTAGGCCATGAAAATTTTCAATACTTAATTTTCAGTTTTATCAAACAAGACTTAAAAACTAAAACAGAGTATATGGAATGTAAACCAAATGAATACTTTTAAAATAATTACTTTCGATACTTACAATTAATAATACAAAAAAATGAGGAGATGGATGATTAGCAGGATTAGAGTCGGATGGACAAAATGAAGTCAGACTAGTGGTGTCCTATGTGATAAAAAAAGCTATCAAAAAAACTAAAAATTAAATTTTATAAGTCAGTCATTCATTAGGCCAACTATCTTATACACGAGCGAGTGTTGGCATTAAAAAATAAATAAGAATCATGTAACCGAAACATGAAATGTTGAGAGTATCTAAAAGAGATAAGTTTATTAATCAAAGATTGGAGTCGGCCACTTAAAATCTCCTTTTCTGCTCTATTCTATTATATGTCATGTATTGTATGGACATATAGACCGTAGGCCCGTCGATGCACCAGTAAAAAAAGGAAGAATAGTGTGCATAGAAGGTAAGAGGAACCGAGGCCAATCAAAACTAACTTGGGATGAAGTAATTAAAAATGGCTTTTAAGAAATTAAATATAAGAGGAGAATAGAGCAGAAAAAAAGAATTCAAGTGGCCGACCCCATTCTTTTGGGATTAAAGGCAAGGATGATGATAATGATGAAATAAAGCCATAGGACCAAAAGGTCCAAAATCATTGTCTTCGGTAAGAAACATGAAATCTATAATTTATTATTGATTAAAAAGCACATTTGACATTTTGTTAGTAGCATGCAATAAAGAGTAAGGGGCATAACAAAGCAGGTGTTCCTTTTCCAGTAATTTTGAAATCAATCATAAATATAGAATAAAAAAGTTGCCCAGCAGACAAAGCTATAATTTATGAATTAATTAATGTTGCACAGCAATTTCTTCTAAGAAAGGAGAAAAGGGTGAATTTTAGAATACTGATTTCTCCCAACATAAATCCACAGAAAGGTTTGAGTAATTTTGCTCCAATTACATTTAAGTTTTCGGATTGAGATAAAACTACCAGATCATGTTCCTATCTTATTTGCCACTAATAGATGCTAGAGATTTCTACTTAAAGAGATCTTCAGTCTGACATAATTTCCAGTTAGTTCCACAAACTAAACAGTCAGAACAATGGATCAGATATTAATTCTGAGAATGTATCTTTAAATCCCTGAAATCTGTAAGTTAGCAAACTGAGTTCAAGAAAAAATAAACCACATCAAGGAAGATAACTAATAGGCAAATGCCTAGAGAGATTAGAAATGTAAATGTCATGTAGGGGGGGATTACACAAACCAACTTTGAACATCTGAAAATAGAAGGCAAAAGGTAATCATACCTTATATTTTCCTGCCTTTAAGCAGCCTACACGGTAGTCTGAATAACTCTTAGTCCAATGGAAATTAAAGACGAAGACCAGGTTCCCTCTTTCAAAGATGATCATTCTATCACCTTCATCCTTCCTTGAAATATATTGGTGTTCTGATGTCATGAACTATACAAACAGATTATCAATTTATTGTTTTTAATTAGTAAAATCCAAAAATACAACTGCGATGAGTTGAATTCATTAGCAGGTACAACAGAGATAAGATAAGAATGAACATACAATTCCAGTCCTAAAATCCATTACAAGTAATGTTAGGCCAATAGCTAATCTTAGTAGAATTGTTAGTTAGGAACTATATATCCACATTTATAAATATAATACATGTACCAGCGGAGAAAGGTCATTAAGAAAGTCCCACAATATAAGTGCCAGACACCTAGCTTTCTATGAAATTATTCTGCCCAGCCAGAAGACATAATCGTGTACGTTTGAGGCAAGATATTCAACATGACGGAGGAGCAACCTGAAGTGGTGACATTTATTCACCTTTGATAAACCCCATATACATGAGAGGATATAGGACAACTAAGAGACCAACTCCTAATGCTTCATTTCATCTCTTGAAAGAATAAGAGGAAAAAAGAGAATAACAAAAGAAAGTTAGCCACCCTTTTTATATGGGCATAGGCAAGAAACGAAAATGCAGAAGATAAGTCACTTTCTTTTTTATGGCTAACTTGTTCATGAGAAGAGCCTACATTTGCATAGGAAGACTAACCATCAACCCATAAGTTATTCCCTTGATATATAAAGGAGAATTGGTGAGAAACAGTTAATGGAAAATTTCATAACTAACCATTATAAGCTTCTAAAATATCCCAAAACTTAGAAAATTTTATATGCACCCACAAAAATATGGAGATTCATTGAATAAATAAAGCACTAATTTATGGTATTTGGCAGAACACATACACCGTATGTTTCTTCAACATGCTGCATTGCCCGATCAAATTCTTGCAGTCCATGATACCTTAAATATTCTGCATCACCCTGAGTATACAAAACCAAAGTTTTCAGAAACCAAGTTGAGGTTACATAGAAGCCATCCAAAAGGTTAGTTACAGTAAACAAAAGGTTTTATTTTATTTTATTTCATTTTTATCATGGCTGTAGAGCTCTAATAATACAGCAAACATAATTCAGGCAATCAAGAAAAGAAGAAAGTAAACGATTACCTTGTAAAGGAATTCCTTATAGGAAGCAACCTAATTTGTTTCTAAACAAGATATAAACCTTGCTTCTCACTAAAACTTTATAAATATTACCTAGTGATTTTATTTATCAAAAATATTCAGGGAATCTAAAACACTTGTAAGCCCATTTCATTTTCTCTCTATGCCCACAAAGACTGAATTGCTTTATGTTATTTTCTTGACTAAACGGGAAAATTCTTTAAGCCCCTATAATTCCAGATTATGGTTGCTCAACAAAACCATAAACAAAATGAAAGTGAACCCACATGAGGATCTCCTTTCCTTCATAAAATGTAAAACTAGCTCGTGATATAACTCAATGAGGAAACTTACTAGATCAAATCTACGCCGGCATTTATCGAAACTGTTATTATTCCCAGGGACAAATTTGCCATTAGGAAGATATTGATCAGCCCTTGGAAAATCTATCCACTCTGATAAAAAGAATTGTAAAGATTTAGTAACCAAACAAAGATACCATACAACAAAGCCAAAAACAGTTGAATTCATTATGAAAAATGATAGCTACATCCCAAACTAAGAATTGTAATAAACAAAATGACCTATCCTTACCAGGATGCCCAAATTCATTTCCCATGAAATTTAAGTATCCTTCTCCACCTAATCCCATAGTAATAAGCCTGATCATTTTGTGCAATGCTATTCCGCGATCTATCAGGGGAGTTGATGGTCTATCCACAGCCATGAAGTCGTACATATCCTGAAAAGCACAAGAAATACAGCACACACATTTTCTTTATTGATAACACGTCTTGGAAATTATGATAATATCTATATGATAATATGAAGAATAGTGATTTTATATTTCTTTTGATCTTAATTCCAGTTATGAAAAAAAAGTATAAATATTTTGAAAGATTGAAAAAAATTAAAGTTTCAATAATTAAACATGAAAGGTCATGCTATTTCTGAATATAACCCAATTATTTTATCCACATCAGTGTAACATAAAACAAATGAATGACCGGGAAAATACAACTCAACTAAATTAACTCATAAGCAATGATTGAATACTTAGTGTCACCATAAAAAAGTAAAAAATAAAAATCAATGCTTTAATTCCACAGCATGCTGCAGAAGATTGCAAATTTTCATTAATGTTAGTGTTGAGGATTGATTAATCAACTTTCTCCAAGCAAACGCTACCTATGAAAATGTCAAGGCCATAAACATGACAGAGGCAGATGGAATGCATAATAGGAATATCTTTTCCTCCTAGTCATCATATTCAATTTCAGGTCTAACAACAAAACCCTAATTACTTTAATTCCACTCTTGCAATAGTATCAATTGTTTTTGATAGCATACTTCAATAGTTTATACTGTTGTTTGCCCTTCATAATGAGTGGAAAATACATAGCACTAAGAACATATTTAACCTTGTCCATCAACCAGAATGCAATGGTTTTGTCACCGACTAGAGCTTGGTCGTGACTTTCAGCATAAGAGACACATTTTTCCGACCACCTTCTGTTGGTGAGAGTGTGAACAATATTACCCATTTCCCAATCTTCATCCCTTTTCCTGTACCAAAATACCAAGAAGAAACAAAAAGCAGATATAAATTTGCAAGTTAAACACATCACAGCAGTATTAAAGATACAAATCAATGCTATCTTAGCTTGAAAGAAACAATTAAAAAATCAATCTTCTGCAAGTGTGACATGATTTCTTCAACTCAGATTGCAGTTATCAAATTGCACGGGTTAGGAAAACCTATATGCTGGATCCCATGTCATAGTCATAAAATTCAAGATGATGGATTTGGAAGTACATGTTGACTTGTCTCTTTCAGTTATATTTCATAAATTATAGTTAGCTATAAACTTGGCATTCTCCACAATCTTTGTCGAAGAATTCCCACGTAAAACAAGCAGAAAGGTATGACACAGGACAATCCCTCAGAATAAGGTTTATGGCTGCTTTTACTGGATAATAGTGGGGTATTGTAGGACTTTGAGTTTGAACTAATGTTTAATGGATGTAGAAGAGAGAATCTAATATGCATGTGCTGAAATTGAAAGAAATGGAGATGTAAGACGGGGATTTGAGATGCCTCAGCTCATCTAAATATCAAATAGTCCCACTACACTTGTAGGGTCTTGTGAAACAGGAGAGGCTATAAATTCTTCTTTAGGTCATAGGCTTCAATCGCAAAGTTACAACCCTACAACTCTACAAGTAGAGCCTAGCAAAGGAGGTTCCTTATAAGCTGTATAACTGATAGCTAAAGGAGAAGATGGTAATCAACATGATTCCAAAACAGGCAAGGTCTAGAATTCAAATCTACGTGTCACCCTCATAAATATAATTCATAAACGTTGAATCGGATTCTAGCCACAGGTAAGAGAGCATGTTAGAGAGTGATACTCTCACTCTACAGAAGTACTAGCACTCCACCTTTTTTAAAAAAACAAAGGTGTTACGACAAACGCAGCGAACCCAAGAAACATACCACACAAAGAACACAAGGATTTAACGTGGTTGGTAAAGCCTACGTCCATGGTGAAAATCCAGCGAAAGATTTCACTATACGAAAATCTGGAGATTACAAGTTTTAGCCTCCAAACCCTAGCTCTCGTTCTCTTTTCTGCGATTTTCAGTAACCAAATTTGGGCCACAACATCACAAAGGAAATGGCACAACCATTCCTCAAAAGTGGAATATACTATTTTGGGCAATTGTGAAGTAAGACGGTTCTTTTGAGAGGCAATTGCGTCATTTTCATTTTTTGTTAAGAAAAAGAAAAAGATCAAGTGGAGTACTAGAGCATACTTTTTTAGTTTGTGAATATCATTTCCCTATCTAAAAATTAATAAAAGTATCTTCTTTAAAGGCAGTCAAGTAATTGTTTGATGTTTCGAAAGCAACATACTTGAGAAGCTCAATCCATTTGTCAGCAATGGCCATATGCAGCCGATAGTCAAATCCAACGCCACCATCTTGAACAGGAATACAGAATGCTGGCATTCCACTAACCTGAAAACCAATAAAACTGCATAATAAATGAAATAAACGAAACGCACAACCGGCGCCATGTTAATTATGCTTTATTTTAGTCTGTTGCTGCATGCAATCCTTTTCAATTATCATCCTCACAATCAAATAATTAACGAAGTCACAAAACAGTGGGTTGGAATGTACAAACTCATGATGGGAGAGTTTTGACAAAATAAGGATACAGCAAAACAAAAAAATTCATTAAAAGAAAAGGAAAAAAAAAATGAGTTATTATTATTATTTTTTTTTCTGAACAACTGAGTTATTTTTCTTGGACATTGAATTTGAACTGAATTAGACAAGACATATTCTTGTTATGCATCAACTCCTCTAAGAAAAAACAGTCCAAGTATTTGAAGCCCTAGTTAAGGTTTTCCTAGCAATTATACCTTGATAAAATAAAAATAAAAATAAAAATAATGAATTATAACATAAAAAGGTGTACTAGGATTTGAGACACACCAACACGTGAGAGAGATTAGAACTTTTATTTTTCGAACACAAGTGAGTTTTTTCATAGAATGATGCCCTATAATGTTTTCAGATTGAATTCAAAAGCAAGGAGTTCCACTGGATACTTGACCATATCAACCACAACATCTATAAGTAAAAAAAAAAAAAAAAAACTAGGAGATTGGGCACGAAGAGTAAAGGAATCAAAGCACCACTTGAAGAGCGGAATTGTGAGAGTACCAAATTTGTTGACTGGCAACTGTAAAATTTGAGCAAAATGCCTAGAGTGTGTGTGGCAAAGGTTTGGGTAAGAGTCGGTAACCTAGGTTTGTAAATCTTTTTTCATAGTGGATTTGATATACATCGACTAGGTTCTGTTATTTTTCCCTCTTGGAATTTTACACATAAATCTTTGTATCATTGATTTAGATTTGTGGTTTGGATTGACCCAAGTGGATAGTAGATACTGATGCATTGGCAATGATTAATAAATAAATTAAAAAACAATCAAATTGTGCATTACACCGATTCACCCCTTCTAGGCCTAATTGAGACAAAGCATACTCTGACGTATCATAGCTTGGCCAATAGTCCACTTTCTCACTCACGTTATCCTGTTGACCAACTTCGCCAATTCTAAGGTATTAATAACCTCAATAGGAGAATCTCCTGGTGTGCATCCCAACATACTATCTTTTTTTTTTTTTTTTTGATAAGTAATAATATATTAGAAAAACGTTCAAAAGGGGAACGCGTCCCTAATACAAGAAAAAAGGTCTAAGGACCAATGGAATCCAAGAGATCAAAGAAATCATCAATTGAGGAACATGCACTTCCTCTTACATAAAAGAATAAAGAACGAAGAATATGAATTTTTAAAGTAGTTAAAGACGATTCTTTTCCTTCAAAGGATCTGTTATTCCTCTCATGCCACAAGCACCACCAGACACAATGTGGAACAATCTTCCAATAAACCCGAGCTTGTTCTTTGACAGGACACCTTTTCCAAGCGTTAATCAATTGAGCGGAGTGCTTAGGCATTACCCAAAAAATGCCAAACAAACTAAAAATAAAACTCCAACAATCAAACGCCACAGGACAATGCAAAAGAGTGTGGTCCACGGATTCACTATCAGCTTTACATAAACAACACCAATTAACAATAATGTTGCCTCTCTTTCTCAAATTGTCCAAAGTCAAAATCTTCCCCAATGTGGCAGTCCAAACAAAGAATGCAATTCGAAGAGGAGCTTTAGAGCGCCAGACAGACTTCCAAGGGAACTCAGGACCAACGAAATTGGACAAACAAAAGAACATAGAGCGAACACCAAATCGACCATGAGCTAAAGGAACCCACAGAATATCATCACACCCTCTGCCAATATCCTTATGACTATACAACATATCCAAAAAAACACAAGCTTCCTCCATTTCCCAATCCTGAAAGGGCCGCCTAAACCGCACATCCCACGTAACTCCATTGTTATCAAGTTGATAACAATCAATCACGTAAACATGCTTATTGGCTGCAATACTGTAAAGCCTAGGAAAGGAGTGAGACAACAACTGATCGCCGCACCAAAGGTCCTCCCAAAAACGAACATGTCTACCATCTCGAACTTTGAATCTAATATGAGTGGAGAAAACATCCCAACCCTTCCGAATGAATTTCCACACACCAATGCCTCCCGTAATAGTGATTGGAAGAGATGACCAGCCCCCACTCTCCTCACCAAAACGACAAGAGACAACTCTTCTCCACTGACGATGGCGTTCCCCTCCAAATCTCCATAACCACTTTCCCAAGAGAGCACAATTAAAAGGAACAATTTTTCGAATGCCAAGCCCACCTAATTTCAACGGTTAGCAAACTTGATCCCAATTAACAAGATGATATTTAAACTCCTCTCCCCTACCACCCCAGAGAAAATCCCTCTGAATTTTTTCAATCCTTTCAGCAACAGAGCATGGAATTTGAAACAAAGATAAAAAATAGGTAGGAAGGGATGAGAGAGTACTCTTAATAAGTGTGATTTTCCCCCCTTTAGAAAGATATTGCTTTTTCCATCCTGCTAATCTTTTCTCATATCTATTAATCACTGGATCCCAATTCCCAACTCGAGTAGAAGAAACTCCCAAAGGCAATCCTAAGTAAGTAAGAGGAAAAGAACCAACTCCATATCCTAAAATAGCAGCTAAGGAGGAAATATCTGGAACATCCCCCACTGGGACAAGCACACGTTTTTCGACATTAATCTTTCACCCAGAAACCACTTGGAAGCAAGCGAGAGTGCACCTCAGATATCTGAGTTGAGAAACTTCAGCATCACAAAATACCAGAGTATCATCAGCGAATAATAAATGGGAAATCTGCATCGGACGTTCAACATCTATGGCAACTCTGAACCCCCTGATGTAGCCCAAATCTTCCGCTTTCCTCATTAACCTGCTCAAACCTTCCATGACAATGAGAAAAAGAAAAGGCGATAAAGGATCTCCTTGTCGCAGACCACGCGAGCTAGCAAAAAAACCCGCAGGTGAACCATTCACGAGAACAGAAAACATAACTGACGAGATACAAGTTTCAATCCATTTTATCCACCTATCACCAAACCCCATCCACCGAAGCAGATACAAAACAAACTTCCAATTAACATGATCATAAGCTTTCTCAATATCAAGCTTACACAAAATGCCAGGAACCCCACTTCTTAATCTAGAATCAACATACTCCCCGGCAATAAGAACAGAATCCAAAATCTGCCTTCCGCCAACAAAAGCATTCTGTGATTCTGAAATGAGACCATCCAAAACATTACTCATCCTGGAAACAAGAACCTTGGTACTAAGCTTATATAAACATCCAATTAAGCTAATAGGCCGAAAGTCCGTAATATCAGAAGCACCGCCCTTCTTAGGAATAAAGAGCAATAAAAGATGCGTTTAGAGATTTCTCAAATGTGCCATGATAATAAAACTCCTGAAAAGTGCCCATCACCTCAATACGCACCACCTCCCAACTCTCCTTAAGAAAGCGCATAGGAACCCATCTGGCCTTGGAGCTTTGTCCCCGTTGCAACTGGAAAGTGCATTAAGCACTTCCTCCTCCGTGAATGGAATCTCAATTCTATCCCTATCCAATGCAGAAATAGAATTAAATGAGAGACCATCAAGAGTGGGTCTCCAATCCAAAGACTCGGTGTAAAGCCGCTGATAAAAAGAAGCGATTCCCCCACGCACATCGTTCTCCCTCCACAATTCTGAACCATTAACCCGGATACGCCCGATATGATTACATCATCTGTGGGCATTGGCAAGTCTATGAAAGAATTTTGTATTTCGATCCCCATCTTTTAACCACAAAGCCCGAGACTTCTGGCGCCACGAAATCTCCTCCATATTAGCAATCTCAGCAAAAACCGCTTGGCAAGAGGCTCTTTTAGAGCGTAAAGATTCTCCACTCTGTCCCACCTCGTCAAGACGATCAAGCTCAGCAATATCAGCAAGAACTCTATTCTTCTTCCATTCAAGATTCCCAAACACTTCTTTATTCCACCTTTTTATTCCCAACATACTATCTTTTACAAGAAATATAAAATGTACTTCCTTTGCGAAATTAAAAAACCTTTTTCAGATCTAGAAACCTCAATTCCAATGAAGTAACTTAAATTATCCAAGTCTTTAACTAAAATCCTCACTTTGAATTTTCAAACTGGACACTTATTCTGAATCACTCTCTATCACTACTATATTATCTACAAATATGCTTAAGCATTTTTTTATCACTAATACATATCTACATATATAATGAGGACTGAGATATTGCCTCTACCCTAATTTACAGATATACTACAATTTGAGTGATTACATCTACCCAAATTTTACCATAGTCTTGTGAAATCTGTCAAACCAAGCCCTTAAGAATTACTTCAAATTTTACCACTGCCTCTCGCTTTATATCAAAAACCATTTTACCAAAGAATGATATTTTACACTAGAAAATGAAATATATATATTAAACACAATGAAAATTTAGTAGTGTCGATGTATCCTTCTAGATTTGATATATCTGACGTCCAGGCACATATCCACACCCGACACACGTACCTTGATCCACATAGTGAAAAGCTCAACTAAAGTACAACTTAGCAATTGGTAAATATGTCTTTCGATAGTCTATGGTATATATCGTATTTTAAGTCAGGTATAGGTCTTATGTGTCTCTTAAAATGAAAGGCTAACAAAAAGTAAATAAATAAATTACATCCTAGTTCGTAGAATACCAATTTAAAATTTCATTTTCATTTTCATATTCCTCACCATGGAGGTTTCTTAAGTTCGTAGAATACCAATTTAAAATTTCATTTTCCTATAGATATAAATTACATCTTAGTTCTTTAATCAACTAGATATTTTAGCCTTCGCGCCACCTTTTTAACTGTTTTTGAAGTCTTTCCGTACAAACACCTGCCACCAGAACTCTGAGCATGTCAAAACTAGCAGTACTCACGTACCCTAAACGTTTGTGAGTAGAGGCATGTGACTTGGATACACAACTCACCGAATGTAAGCCAAGTATTCAGAACTTTTTTTATTAGAGGGATGTGCCACTTGGACACACCCCTACACCAAAATGCGAGCCAAGCTCCGCGCCCCCCCAACACACACACACACACACATAAGTTTTCTTCTACACAAAATGGGAAACAAAAAAATAACATGCTAAGAAGTGGAATATATGCAGGTCAGACATTCATTAAACCAAAATTATATATGAAGATTTTGTAAGCAAGTTATAAACATCAAAATGAAAGATGCTCATCATAACTACCAAATGGAATGGATTACATACATCTTCACCAATGGAAACAGCTTCAGGGAACAGCCCATGAATAAGATCATTAACCAGCATCAAATAAACCACAGCGTCTACATCAGTTGTAAGTCCAAAATATTCATTGTAGTTTCCAGTAAATGCTACCTAACATCAATCAAGTTAAGGAAAAGACAAGTAATCAGAAGTAGCACAGCTGATCATAAATATAGACACAAAATACAAGGGTTTTGAAAGTATATCAAGATAGCTAAAAACAGGGGTAGCAAAAACTAGCCTAATTGAAAGGTCCAGAAGCCTATAAAGACATCTACCAGCATTCCCATTGATGATATGTTCTATTCTTTCTGCTTTGTTTTACCATGATGTTTAAAACCTTGTGACTGCGGAATCGGTTACAGCTGTCATGAATATTTTTCGACTGTGCACACAGGGAACAAAATGCATCGATGCATAACTTCTTACAATATAATTCAATAAAAATGCATTTTTAGTGAATTTTAGTAATTTTGATTCCATTTTTTAAGACCATTTAACATAGGTAATGATTTATACATGAATTCTAAATCGCTGTCATTATTAAAAATGATTTTGATTACACTTTGATAGATTTAAACAAATTTTTTTTTTACAAGATTGAATAAAAGAAGTGTTCAAAAGGGGATCACATCCCTCAGAAAACACATCAGGCCTAATTGGGCCTCTAAACTCTCAAAGAGTCCAAACAATCAACTATCTCATCTATGGATTTACATATCTCCCTATAACCCAACAAAAAAGAGTGTTAATAATAGAGAACTTTAACTCCCCCGTAGGAGTATCCTTTCCTTTGAAGGATCTCCTATTTCTTTAAAGCAATAAACACCACCAGACGCAAAGAGGCGTAACCCTCCAAAAATCACCAACTTGGACCCCCACTATACAACCGCGTCAAGCCTCAATCAAGTTTCTCGAGGATCTGGGCATAACCCACTGAAAAGAGAAAATAAAAAGAGGTATATAATACAAGTTAAAAGTATAATAGAATTATTAGGTCTGAGTGGATAAAATTCCTTGAACTTTAAAATTTTGTCTGATTCCACATTTTCGTTTATATGTTTCAACTTCCTAGAAGAAATAGCTTAAAATATTATTCTTGCATTTTATTAAAAAAATCATAATAAGAGTGTTGCAGCAATGGATAGAGACCTCTAATTTTTGAATCTTACCGGGAATCGACTCTAGCCATCAGCAACTTTAGATTATACCTACCTAGCTGGCAACCATCCAGCAATCATTACACCTACCTAGCTGGCAACCACACACATTACTTTACAAAGTAAAACGGTGTTAGTGTTTTCTGGTTCGGCCGGCCATTTCTTCAAGAATTGGCCAGTTCGCCGCTGAACCGGCCGGTTCTGTTGTGAAATCAGGGTCACCCCAATGTATCAGGAGTACTAGTATCGGCACTCCCCATTTCCATTACGAACCAGCCGGTTCGGCGAACCATGATTCAAACCCAAAGAATGCAAAATTTCAGATTTGGTAATTAAAAATTCAAAATACAAAAATATTAAATTATAAAAACATGGAAATGTTTATTACGAGGAAAATGAAAACAATCAGAGATGAAAAAACAAAGAGAAAAAGAGAAGTTACAACTCTTTCCTGAGCCACGGCAGCAGGTTACAGACAAAAAGTTTTGACCAAAAGAAAAAGAACAAATTAAAGTTGCCACCCTTTCACATCGGCTTAGGTCGTAAAAAGGTTTAAGTGTTGTTGGTTGAGTCTTAGGATCGAATCTTACCCACCAAAGGAGAGAAAAAAAAAAAAAGGACAAAGTCAAAAAGAGAAAAAGAAAAAAGAAGAAAAAAAGAAAGAGAGAAAGAAAAAGAAGGAAAGAACAACCGGCCATCGGATATTCGCTAACATAAAATCATAGTCTGTCAACTTTTAAGATTACTTTTGATATTCAAAGTGGTTGATGCTGTTTACTTCAAACAACAGAAGATATGGATCTCAGGTTTTATAAATTTCTGCAGCAAAACTATAACAGATTTACTTAAAAGTCCGTTGATATCATACTCCACTCTTGTGCACCTTCATAAAGCGTAGGAACTAAGTATTATTTAGCAGAAGGAGAGAGCCAACACAAAAGTAATGACAAAAGCTACTCTCAAGTTGTTGATGGGAAGTCACAAGGGAAAAGATTTACTGAGTTTGAGCTTTAGACATTTCTGTGTTTCAGATGCCCATTTACAAAGAATTTTGATGAATAACTTCAAATATGGAACAATATTGTAGTACCCCAACAAGAAGAATAGGTATTCCAGAGCATTTTGATTGTACCTGCAATCCATGATGAGTGTACATCATTGAAGTCACACCATCAAATCTAAATCCATCAAACTTGTATTCATCCAGCCACCATCTTGCATTTGAAAGAAGATACCTTAGTACCTAAAGCAACACACAAAATTAATCCATAAATCGATAGGGAAAAAGAGAGAAAATTCATTGCAATGCAGGATTACTATAAGTTCTTAAGATATCACATACTTCCCAGTGTCCATAGTTGAAAAGGCGTGAATCCCACATCCAATGATAGCCCCGTGATCCAGAATGGAAGTAGTGACTATCAGTTCCATCAAACATGTTCAGCCCATCCAACGTATTATTTGAGGCATGGCTGAATTCATTAAGTATTTACCGTCAGATACAAAAAGATAAGAGAACTAATAAGTTAATTAATAGTATAATTATAAAAATAAAAATACTAATAATAATAATACCCAACAACAGAGCAGACATACGCAAGTCTGAATTTACAAATTTCTATGTGCAATATATTATTTCAGAACTCCCAATGTAGAATAGAGAATGTGATGATTTGGTATTTACTACCAAACATTTGATAACTCCCATTCTGAAAGTAATGACTAAAGATATCTGTCCAAATCCTTTCAACTTGATTGAATCTTAACCCCAAAAGATTAGACCCCCTAATCAATTTCATGTTTTTATGCTTAAACTTCTCCTTTGAAATTTTGCCCCATTATAAGGTCATGATTTATGTGTCCTAAATCATGACTAAACATTTGTGATATGGTTCCGGAGGATGAACCGGATATGAACAGTTTCAATAAGATTTCATTCCTGAACAAAAATCCATTTTTTTATTAATTTCATCTATTGCATGACCGGAACAGGGGAGGATACATGTTACACCATGATTTTGAATCAGGAGAGATTTCCAGAAATGGCAGATCTATTCAGTCTATCAATAACCTAACCGGATCTGGTGTATCACAAGGGATTTGCCTTCTCTGTTGATTCCTAGGAATTGGGTCTCTTAGAGAGTTAGACACTTGGACCAAACTAGTGTGGTGGGAACCCAGAATATGGCAAGTTATCGAAGCTTTATGATCTGATAGTGGAGCTCAAATGAGCAACTCTGCATTATGTGGAAAAAAATATAACATGCAAAGGCCATCACCAAGCTTCCTGACACAAATCAAGCCATTTCGCCCACACATGGGCCATGCAATCAAATGAAAATAAGGGAGGAAAATAGAGAGGGAAGATATGAAAAAGGAAGGGGGAGAAGAAAGAGAAAATAGAAAAGAAAGGAAAAAGAGAGGAGAAGGAAAAGGGGGAAAGGAAAAAAAAAAAAAAAGTGGAAAAGTTAGTGGTTTGGGAAGGGAATTTCATTTCCTTCAAGGTAAAAGACTAACCCTCCTACCTAAGTTCAGCTGTGTGCTAAAATTCACCAAGAATGGTGTTAATCACCCAAAGGTGTAGGAACTCAAAAATTGAGCATAGTTGTCAAACGATGTTAATAGATTGGACTTGTATTGCCTTGCTATGTAAAGAACTATGGGCTATGGATTGATAACTCTTGCGGTTAATGGTGGTGGTGGTGGTGATTATGCTTTATTCATGAATAAGTCTAGAATTATTGAGATAGGTTTTATGCGGGCTTTTTAAAGAATTTCACAATAGTATACACTATTTTTGGGTCATGGACTGCTCAAGATGGATAGACCTTGAGTGTTGAGCAATAGGCCGCTCGGCTCGAAACTCGATTGGTTGACCACCAAGCTGGATCAATCGGATCCTATCCGGAACTTCAAAGCTTGTTTGAAAGAATTTAAAACTTACACAATGACTTTGAATTCAGTGTTGAAAGTAAAATGAATGTTTTGGAAAAGCAAACCATTCTTGAAAAATAAACCTTTTACTTGGCTAATTAAGTTCTAAATTGTATTTGATATAGTAAAATGTTTGTTGGTAGTAAATTGTGATTTCAGTATTCGTATGAAATGATCATTTGTTGAAAAGATCACTGGTTGTCTCGTTTTTAATATCTTTTGCATACATGGCCGTGGGTTAAACATTTACATATCATGCCTTCATAGTCTCGGACATTTCATTACAATGTCATGGCCTAGGCTGACAACATATTCGACGTGTAGTGATGGTCTTGGACCATATCAATTTGTGATGTTTCCATTTTTTGCCATTTTTCATTTTCTGGAATTTTTGTCGTTGCAAGGTCATTTCCGTCTTTTGCTATTTTGTGTACTGGACACCGTGGGATGTGCCAGTTGTGTCTGAGAGTTGGTTGGGGCATTTCATTGAGTTCAGGACTCTTTCAAATGCAAGGATTGTCATGTTTGAATTTTTCTGTTTTTCGGGCCGGACGGTCCCGTGTGGGACCCGCTACCGGAATTGTCGTGCACGAGGGTTTTGGTTGGGTCCATTTGCATCACATTCATTTTTATTTAATGTGTTTTATGTGGTGGTGAATTAATATGTGTATATATATATGTGTATGTAGTGGAAATAAAAGTCAAAAAGAAAAGAAAAGATATTTCATAGTGGGACCCACATTTTTATTTTAGAAAAAGGCCAAGAGGCCAATGTTTGGCCTCACCTTTTTCTTTTTCTCTCTCTCTCCCTGCCGGTTTCACTCTCTCCCCCACACAATTTCTTTTTTCTTTTTCCTTCTCCAATAAGCTTCAAGTCTTGATTTCTCTCTCATCTTTGAGAGATTTTTGATGCCGTTTGCGGCAAATTGAAGACCACGGCGAGATCTGCGATTTGATCAAAGCAATTCCTTGTTTGGTGCACTTTAAGAATTTTGAAATCTAGGGCACAAAATTGGGGGTTTTTGCTTATTTTGAGGTAGGGGTTTCTAATTCCCAATTTCTTGTTCCTTTGTGAATTTTCCTTCAATATTAGTTGTCAAACATGCCTAATTTGAGTTGATTGCCTTGAAAATGATATTATTGTTGTAAATGAAATCTATGATTATGTGTATTAATTAAATTGTGTGAGAAGAATGCCTAAATGTTAATTTCCATGCCATGGTGTTTGTTATCTTGCTAGAAATTGCTATGTGGAAGCATGTTAAATTGTGTAGTAGAAATTATTTTATCTTCATAGTAATGTCAAAATATGTGACATGCGTTCATATGGGCATGGAAAAGGGCAAAATGATTTGAAGTGAATGAAAAAGGAATTTTGGGTCAAAGTTTTGATTAAAGTGATTTTATGAAAAACCCGGTTGCCGCGGAGTCACCAAAGGGCCGTGGTGTTAATCTAACCTAGAGGGAACTAGGGGAATCACCTTAGCGTCGTTGAGCTATCTGGGCCTCAAATAACGCCGCGGAGGTACCAAAGGTCAGGGACAGTAGCCAATCCTTCTCTCGGGTCACTGCAGAGTCACCAATGGACGTGTTATATTAACAGTTTGTGAAGTGATGGATGATTTTGAAAATGGGGAGCGACATAGCACGGCATTGCATTTCATAGTACAATATTGTTCATTTGGACTTTGATATTGATGTTGTATTTCCCTTGGTAAAGCATGATCCCATTTTCTACATCTCTTTTCTTTTTTTGGGTTCACGGGGTCACAAGAGGTGTGTCTTAGGTACCACCTATTGAGCGATTTGATCACCCCATTACATTTAACATTTTCCAGGGCTAGGAAAAGTAGTAGTAGACATCGACCCTTCACAAGCATAAGGAGGACTAGAAATCTATTTTTGTCACCTTTTGTGTATTTGCCATTCTTTTGTGAAGTTTCAAACCATAGTAAAGTGTGTTCATTTTGCAAACCATGGCCATGTATTGTAACTAAGATACTTGACTGTACTTTGATGTAAATCTGAGACTATGTAAATGCTTATGTTGAATGGGAGGATGATAATATATTTTGAGAAATTAGTATCGTTATTTCTGTGTGATGTTGTATATTTTGCCTTAAATTCGGACTTGTTTTGAGTATCAGGTTTTTCTCACAAGTTGGCATGATGCCGTTTGCGGCAAATTGAAGATCACGGCGAGATCTACAATTTGATTAGAGCAATTCCTTGTTTGGTGCACTTTAGGAATTTCGAAATCTAGAGCACAAAATTGGGTGTTTTTGCTTATTTTGAGGTAGGGGTTTCTAATTCCCAATTTCTTGTTCCCTTGTGAATTTTCCTTCAATATTAGTTGTCAAGCATGCCTAATTTGAGTTGATTGCCTTGAAAATAATATTATTGTTGTAGATGAAATCTATGATTATGTGTATTAATTAAATTGTGTGAGAAGCATGCCTAAATATTAATTTCCATGCCATGGTGTTTGCTGTTTTGCTAGAAATTGCTATGTGGAAGCATATTAAATTGTGTAGTAGAAATTCTTTTATCTTCATAGTAATGTCAAAATATGTGACATGCATTCATAGCATTGGGCATGGAAAGGGGCAAAATGATTTGAAGTGAATGAAAAAGGAATTTTGGGGCAAAGTTTTGATTAAAGTGATTTTATGAAAAACCAGGTTGCCGCGGAGTCACCGAAGGGCCGTGGTGTTAATGTAACCTAGAGGGAACTCGAAAAACCACCCTAGCGTCGTTGAGCTATCTGGGCCTCAAATAACGCCGCAGAGGTAATAAGGGTCAGGGACAGTAGCCAATCCTTCTCTCGTGTCGCTGCAAAGTCACCAACGGACGGGTTATATTAACAGTTTGTGAAGTGATGGCTGATTTTGAAAATAGGGAGCGACATAGCACGGCATTGCATTTCATAGTACAATATTGTTCATTTGGACTTTGATATTGATGCTGTAATTCCCCTGGTAAAGCATGATCCCATTTTCTACATCTCTATTCTTTTTTTGGGTTCACGAGTTCACAAGAGGTGTGTCTTAGGTACCACCTATTGAGCGATTTGATCACCCCATTACATTTAACATTTTTCAGGGCTAGGAGAAGTAGTAGTGGACATCGACCCTTCACAAGCATAAGGAGGACTAGAAATCTATTTTTGTCACCTTTTGTGTATTTGCCATTCTTTTATGAAGTCTCAAACCATAGTAAAATGTATTCATTTTGCAAACCATGGCCATATATTGTAACTAAGATACTTGACTGTACTTTGATGTAAATCTGAGACTATGTAAATGCTTATGTTGAATGGGAGGAGGATGATATATTTTGAGAAATTAGTATCGTTATTTATGTGTGATGTTGTATATTTTGCCGTGAATTCGGACTTGTTTTGAGTATCAGGTTTTTCTCACAAGTTGGCATGATGCCGTTTGCGGCAAATTGAAGATCACAGCGAGATCTACGATTTGATCAGAGCAATTCCTTGTTTGGTGCACTTTAGGTATTTCGAAATCTAGGACACAAAATT